TTCTATTAAGTGCCTGTGGCTGTTAGGAAATCACACTTAGTGACTTAAAGCAATGGGAATTTATTCTGCCACAGTCCTGGGGGCCAGAAGTCCAAAATCAGCATCACTGCGCGGAGATTACGGTGTGGATAGGGCTGTGCACCCTCTGGAGGTTCCAGGGGAGAATCGGTTCCTTGCTTCTCCCACCTTCGGGCGGCTGCGGCCACTGCTTGGCTTGTGGCGACATCGCTCCAACCCTCAAATCACGCTCTGCTCCATTTCTATATTGCCTTCTCCTCTGTGTGTCTGTGTCAAATTTTTATTTGTACTCTTTCTTTTTTTATTAGTTTTTATTTAAATGTTTATCTTAGCATGCAATAGGCTTATTATTATACAATAAATAAACCATTTTTAAAACATCTCAATTTAATTTTAAATACAGTGACTATCAATAAATATAACACGCATACACAAAAGCATTTTGGTGTCCCCAATAATTCTTAAGAATAAAAAGGTGTCCTGAGACCAATATGTTTGAGAACTGCTCTATTCCTATGTATATCCCTAACAGTGGAATTGCTGGCGGTATACTTCATATCCATTCTTAGTAGGTAATGCCCCATTCTTTTTCAAAATGTTGTACCCATTTATTCACTACTCAAAAGTGCATGACCATCTCTGTTGCATCACATTCTTGCCAGTATTTGGTAGTAGCAAACTAAAATTTTTGTCTAATATATATAAAATTGCATGCATTTTATTTTATTAATTGAAATATTTGACATAAAACATTGCATAAGTTTAAGATGTACATGTTGATTTGATACATTTGTATATTGCAATATGATTGCCATTGTAGCATTAGCTAACAGCTCTATTATATCACATCATCATTTCTTTTTTTGTGGTGGGACTAATTAAAATATAGCCTCTTAGCAAGTTTGATGTTTATAATACAATATTGTTGTCTATAATCACTATGCTGTGCATTAGATCTCCAGGAGTTATTTATTTTCTAGTTCCAAGTGTATGCCTTTTCTTGATTATTAATTAAGTGAAACATTTGCTGTATTTGCTGGACAGAATGTTTTGTTGGTGGTGAAATGGTTGTTTTATATTTTGCTTATATTTAAATGGGATATTTTTTCTTATGAGGACACTTGTGATGGCTTTTAGGACCCACCCAGATAATCCAAGATAATCTTATCTCAGGATCCTTAATTTAATCACATCTGCAAAGACCTTTCTTCCACATAAGACAATGTTTACAGGTTCTAGAGATTAGGACCTTGTAACTTTGGGGGCCACTATTCAACCTGCTATAGTATGGGGAACTCTGATTGTCAAAGTAAAAAAAAAAAAAGAAAACTTCCACATTTTCTAAAGTAATAGAGAGCCATTAACTCAATTACTGGCAAGAGAGAGGGAACTACCATGGTGATTGTATTTAATTAAGATTTACTTATGTCAAGTAAGTGAGGCATGGGCCTAAAAACAGTAGGATTCAACCAGCAGGGAAAAAGCCAGGATATGACTCTTAGATAGGCAAACATCAGTATCTGCTATAGCATACTCAAATGCCACTGCTGTATTTAGCAAGAGTTTATAATGACTTAAGAAAATAATTTTTATAAAGTAAAGTAGGAAAACACTTTTATATACAGTATGGTCAGTATGGTTATGACACAAAGAGTAAAATTTTGTGCATAAAAAAGATGAAGAAATAATATACTAAAAAGTTACTAGTTTTCTGGAGGTGGTAGGAATATAGGTGATTTTATTTTCTTTTTGTATTTTTCAAAATTTTAATTAAAAGTATATATATTAAATTAAAAATATATTTTAATAATAAATCAATATTATTATATTGTTAATATTGGCTTTTTTTTCCAAAAGATGATTCCAGTGCACTTTATATCATTTCACTTAATTTCTATATACCATTTAGTGTATGGTATCGTGAAATTATACAGAATAGCAATAGTTTCCACCTAGATAAGTTCTGCTTTCAAAGAGACCTAGACTCCTCAGCTGTCACTAGAGATAGCTTTCTGAAACACAGGTTGTGAGATCCATCCTGCTGCTCATCAAAAACATTGAATGTCCCTCTATCACTTTAGAAAATATCTTTGAAAAACAAAGTCAAAAACGGCACTCAGAGTTTTCCACAACCTTGCCCAAATCCTTTTTCAAAGTCCCGTACACCGTATGCCCACTGCATTCAGTCATGGACCCCTTGCCCGCCCCACCCTTTGATTTCTATCTCAGGGGTTCTCACTGTGCTCCCAGGTGGAGGGGGAGCTTCAGCTTTACCTGAGAGCTTATTAGGAATGCAAATTCCCAGGCCCCACCCCAGACCTACTGAAACAGAAACCCTGAGGGTGAGCCTGTTGCTGCCAGTCTTAGCAAGCCCTCTGGGCAATTTTGCTGCATACCAGTTGAGAGTCTCTGGGCTAGCTCTCTTTTTGCTATATATATATTTTTGCATTCTTACATCTGTGGCAGTCAGTCATCATTGCTAGAATAACCACAATATTATTCTTCCTAAATAATTAATTTATAAATTAATTTTACAAGCATATATTGTGCCAGCAATTGGCCTTCCAAGTGAATGAATAGCATTTCTATATTCCTATGATTTCCTTGCTGTATCAGTCATTTTTCCTTTAGGTAAACCTTTCTTGTCCTGTTTTTATATATTTTCTGCATACAAATCAATGAACCAGGGAAGAATGATCACTTTTTATTAATGACCCTTTATACATTATCAAATGCTTGCTTTGAGCTAGGCATTGTCTGTGATTCAAAGCCGTTCTTTCAACTATGGTCCATTGAGCTGTTCTAGTAACACAGGACCGTCCCTCTTTCCCTCAGCTAAACCAAAAACATACACAGAAGAGTCATGGACAAGTGTGTCTGGAGGCCCAAGAGGTCTGCCCACCGACTTGGCTTGTACTTTTATAACCTCGGGCAGATCATCTTTCCCCAGAGTCTTGCATGTATCATTGGTTGAAGCAGAGACGGGAAGGGTGTTCTCCCTTGCACAAAGCAGACTCTCATGCGCTGGCATTCATGAGATTCTACAGAGCTCTGTGCTGAGGGACGGCTCAGGTCCTTTCTCCTCCATTGTCATCTGAAGGAAGAGTGTTTTGACCTCTTAGCAGCACCTAACCCTATGCCTGGCACAAAATGAGGGCTTAATAAACAATTGTTGGATAAATGGAAGAAATAAAGAAAGGGACAGTGGAAGGGTGGAAGAACAGAAGAAAGGAAGGAAAAGAAGAAGGAGGGGGAAGGGGAGGGAGGGAGGGAGATAGCTAAGTGTAGATCAGACATGGCTCCCAATGTGGGGAAGTGCTTATGGGAGCAGGTAGAATTGGAACTCTAACACCTAATCTGTGCCATACATACATATGCTCTAACAGTTAATTAATTATTCAGTTTGGTTCCCTCCTAGGTGCAAAGGATGGAGACCCCTCTGAGCATCTGAGAAAAGGGCTTTGTGAATTGTAAAGCAGAATGCAAATGGTGATTAACTAAGCAACACAAGCAAGAGCAAGTCTCCTGAGTAGCGCCAGGAGAGACTCTTTTGCCTTCTTTTTGCCATTTGAGTTCTCAAAAGTGTCCCCAGCATACAACAAATCAACCTCGAATGATCTATGATTAAAATATCCACTCTGAAAATCTGAGCAATTTAGGAATCGTAGGAACTGGACCATCTGGAGATAATTTATAAATAACACTCGCTTTCAAATCGGCTCTGTCTTCCCAAAGAGTCCTCTGTCCTGTCAGTGGGACCACTGCCAAGGCCCACACTGCTAAATTGGGCCAGTGACATTGAAGTTGCTGGCAGGAGCTTCTTATCTTTGATTCTTCTAAGAATTTGGGACGCTTCGTTTGAAACACCTGTTTTTCCTCATGTAAAATGTAGGCTAAAAGTTAATGGTTATTTTTAGGTAAGGAAAGCTTTCAGGATTTTAATGGATGTGATTCACTAAGATTTTACTTTGTCTACTGCTCAAATAATTGAAGCATATCAAATATTAAATAGTATCCCAAATATCCTGGATACATAGTAAACTTTGGGGGCATTAAAAAATGACCAAGCCATTTGCTCCCTTTTCACTGAATCCTGTTGGCATGAAAGGGAGCCATTAATACCATCTTTTTCCCCTCCCTTTCTTTCAGGTGTGTTCTTGTCAGCACAGCCTTAACCACTGCAGGATATCTCTGAAGAGCCAGTCCAGCCGTGATAAATTGTACAGTGGTGCTTTACGGGGCCAAGGCTGACAAGACCATATGGAGTTAACCAGCCTGGGTAATCAAATGATCCATGTTACCGTATGTCTGTGGTAGATATGTTGATGTTCTTTCCTTGCCTCTGCTGTACTGGAATGATCAAAATCTCATGTCTGTTCACATCCTGGGATTATGACATGTCTCACTAGACCTCATTACTGCTCAGGGAGAGGCAAAGAGTAAAACGAGTCAAGCTCAAAGGAGAGCCCTGCAACCTGTGATCTCTGTTTCTGTAGCAGAATTTCACCAGCCTCCATGCCCTATACCCAAAATGCACACACACACAGCCCTTCCATGCCCCTGGCTAGGGTTCTGAGTTCATACATATGTTTGCCATTGGACTATCTGGACTGGAGGTCTTCACATTGCTTCTCAGGGATCTAATGGCAAATGGCAAAATTGACCAGCTGGTGTAAGGAGAGAATTATATTGAACTCATTGAAATAGAAACAAGACATTTATAAAGCAGGGCTTTTCCGGAGGCTGAAAATGAGAATTTTTTCATTTAGGAAATAGACTTGACCCTTGAACAACATGGGGGCTAGAGGACCTGACCTCTTACACTGTTGAAAATCCATGTATAACTACTGACTCCGCCAGAATTAACTATTAACAACCTACTGTTGACCAGAACTCTTACCAATAACCAAAATAGTCAATTAACAAATATTTTGTATGTCACATGTATTACATATTATATTCTTATGAAAAGTAAGCTAGAGAAAAAATGTTATTAAGATAGTCATAAGGAAGAGACATTTACAGTATTTATTGAAAAAATCTGCATATAAATGGACCCACTCAATTCAAACTTGTGTTCAAGGGTCAACTGTATACAGCATAACACATAGAGCTATGCTGTTTTAAAAAGTGATGGGTATGGTGTATATGTTGAGACAGAACACATACCCATTTCTGAGAATATTATTCGGCCTGGAAAGCATCAGTAAAGGTAGTTTTGTAAAGGGACTCTTCTGTTTCTCTCTGGGTCCCACAAAGTTGTTCTTTGTGTGGCTTCCGCCCTTCCATTTGGTTCTTCTAACATTTTATAACATTGGTTTTCTAACAGAGGAAAAGAAAGTTCTTAGGGGTATATATCAGCATTTCAAGAAGGAAGTGATATGTACTTTGAAAAAATGTATTTCATATCATAATACAATTTCATAATTTAGGAAGCAATAAAAGGTAATTGCTCTAATAATGTGAACAAAGAAAGTAATATTTGACAAGTTCTTTCTGTTAGAGGGAATCTATATCAGTAAGTCTTCAAAGGGGGCACCTGTTGGGAGTGGGGCCTCACCTCCCTAGGTGGGTCATGTCAAGATCTTGTTGAATGGTCCAGCATAACACTTTTGCTTATCAAATTGGAAAATGGCTCTTTTTCAAGTTGCAAAACAATACTTGGAAAAGATAATAACAGGAAACAACTGAATCTCTCCTGTAGGATCAGACTTCAGTTGATTGAGTTGAGACAGGAATCCGCCTGCCGAAGAAGGAGCAGCACATTCAGGGCCCATGGTCCAGGATTCAGAAGCTAAAGGTAAGTGCTCTGTGCGAAGACAGCCGTGGCTTCCATAACAGGCTTTGCCTTCATTGCATGCATGCAGCTACTCTAGAAAAATGGAAAGAAGAAGAGTATTAAGGGCAGTGAGTTCAGTAAGGGGCCTCAGAATGGGGTTCCCAGGACCTGCAGAGGTGGCAGCCACAAGGCTTCAGTAGCCTTCCTCAAGAAACTAGGGTACAGTATGTGGGGAGGAGGTGAGGACAGAGTTTGCTTCATAATCTCCACTGACCTGATGGAGCCCTGGGCAGGGAGTGGGGGCAGAGGCCCCACTTGAGCAAATGAACAGCAGAGTTAATTCCTGGAGCTCTTAGCATGGAGGCAGCTTTCTGTAGGTGACTTCATGGTATTTCTGAAGCTACCCAGGAGCATCAGTCCCACATTCTTCAAGAATGATGGTTCTGGGGAACAAAAAAGAGTGACATAAGTAAAAGTGGTGACACAGGGGGCAGTATTAGAAACATAGCAAGGCAAATGTAATAAATGAGTTTTAACAGTGAAGTGAAAGCCCAACGAGCAGTGCCAAATCCCATAAGAGTCACTATGTCCCGCAGCTGAAGACGGGACAAGTGAGGACAACTGAAGCACAATGTTGGTGGACGACGCTGTGTTGGTGAAAGGCCTACCCGTCATGCTAGGGAGGGATAGCAAGCAGCACTGAGGGAAACAAACTATAGAACAAAAGGATGGGCACCACTGGCACAGAGACCATCAAAGATCATGCTGAGCTATCCTGAGGCCTTGCAAGACTGCAGAAGGGATTTGGGGAATTATAGTCCAGTGAATTCTCTGGTGAGAGCTCAGCACTTCAGGCCCCTAGATTGTGCTCTCCCAAACTGATCTACAGGGGGTCTGGAGATGGGGCTGACTACAAGGAATGGGGGCAGAAGCCACAGGGATCCTGAGATCCTGGGGACAGCTAGGGCAAAGAAAGATATCGCCCACTGGTAGGGTGTCCAATGAGAAGCGAGTTGTCTCAAAGATTTAGGATGTTGCTAAGGGGGCACAGGGAAATCAGAGCTCCCCATTTTAAAGAAAACTCAGCCATAAGTAAGTAGAAATCCAAATAAAACTTTTGGAAACCTCTTCCTACAGTCCTTGGATATTGATATTTAGTACAAGGATTGCTAATGACCCAGGCAGACTGTTTACATACCAAAACAGCCTGCCCCTGAAGCTCAGATTCAGTTGCTTACCAACAGCCTGGATATGTTATCTAAAACAGCAACCAACAGCGAAGGACCTATGAAAATCCAGGCAGAGAGCACTTTCTTCAACATTCTGAAATGCAAAGTTTAAAGTGATAACAGGAGCAGGGAGCTACAGTAACCTCTGGCACAATTCTGGCTAAAATGCTAACCTGCAGGAAAATGCAAAAGCTTAGGACAAATGAAAAGGAGAGAATATGGAGCACAAACAACATTTTAGAGGGAATTATAATAGGCTTTTCCTTCACTTCCACTAACTAGCTTGAGGCATTTGGGAAATATGTCTCTAAGCCTTGTTTTCTTCTTATTTAGAATGTGAGAATTGAAGCAGGTGGTCCTTAGGACTCCCTCTTATCCTGGCAAACTGTGAATTTGGGGTCCTGGGTAGTTCACAGACTGAAACATTCCCTCCTAGAATTTCCAGAACAAATACTATTTCACTGATATGGCTTCAGCTAATACATAACATGGTCCTTCCCCTCCCAGGGAGTGTCTCCAATTAGAAAATACAGGGGACGGATCCTTTTATAACTGGATAACAGATCTCACTGAACAATGTTAAGCCTTTCCCATGGAACTGTGTTTATCGTGCTTTTGATTCTCAGTGTGGTCCAAGTCTTTCCCATCTCATTCGTTTTACCCACCAAGAAACAAAATGGCACTCATTTGGACTGTGGCACTAGTGCCCAACCAGATGAACCAACCTATCATTAAGGAGACCCAAATCCTGACCCTGAGCCCAGAATCTCAGGGAAAGGCTGATGAGAATTTTGCTTGGCTTTTCACTCCAGTGATCAGATAAAGTGTGCTGGGTTGACCTTCACTGTTACATGACCCATGCAATTACAGTGCTTTCACTTTGGAGCCTGAGGGAAATGTCACAGGTGCTGGTAGCTGAGCTCATGGCCACCCAGGCCTCCCCCAGGTCATGCCTTGTCTCATACCCAAAAGGAGAGGCTGGATTGTTTTTAACACCACCCAAAGGAGTGGACTCTACACTAGGATATTTGGGTGCATTTTATCTCCTCAATCTCTTCTGGAACCCAATATTTGTTCCTTTATTCATTCATTGAGTACCTGCTGTGGTCATTTATTATGCAGCAATACAATGGTAATACAACAGCCATGCTCTTTCAGAAACTTGCCTGTTCACAGCTGCTTCTGCATCACACCAGCAAGGTGGAATAGTTGCAGCAGAGACCTCAGGGCCTGCAAAACCAAAAATATTTACTACCTGGCTCTTTATAGGGCCGAGAGATGAGAAGGTATGAGCACGATTGCTTTGTGATCTGAATTTGAATCCGCACCACTGGTTCTTGGCTTTCTTCCTTCATGATGTCCCTTCTACCTTCAGAATGGGACAAGTCAGAATATTTTCATTTTTTCATTCACTAATGATTGTTATCTAGGAGAGTAATTTGCAACCGTTTTAGAGTTATAATACCTTCTAACACACATGTACACATACACATTAAAAGATTTGGCATGGGATGTAGTTAGCTTTAAACTGAGTTAAGATGTATGACTCTGAGGATAGGAAGAAGGAGTTGAGACAGTGTGTTAGTGTCCTCAGCCTGCCGTAACAAATTACCACCAGTAGGCTGGCTTAAGAAAACAGCATAAATTTATTCTCCCACAGTGTTAGAGGCCAGAAGCCTGAAATCAAGGTGTTGGTGGAGTTAGTTTTTTCGGAAGCCTCTGAGAGAGAGTCTGTTCCATGCCTCTGTCCTAGCTTCTGTTGGCTGCCGGCAGTCTGTGGAATTCCTTGGCTTGTAATGGAATAACTTTAGTCTCTGCCTCCATCTTCACATGGCCTTTCTCTCTGTTGTCTGTGTATCAAATCTCTGTCTGCCTTTCTCTTATAAGAACACCTGGCATTAGGTTTAGGCCTACTCTAAGTCCAGGATAATTTTATCTTGAGATCCTTAACTTAATTACACCTGCTAAGACCCTTTTGCCAAACGAGATCACAGTCACAGATACTGAAGATTAGGACTTGGCCATATATATTTTTGGATGCCACAATCCAACCCACTCTAGAAAGTATTTAGCATGTTCCTGGAGCTGATAGGGAAAACTCTTTCTCAATCTCCTAAGTATTGATTGAAGTTAACCAGTCCGTCCTACATTGTAGGAAGAATTTTTTGTTTTTGTTTTTCACATGGGGCTTTATGGGTACTCGGTTTCTCCATCCATGAGCCTGTGATCATGGATTGGATGATTCCTTAATGACAAGGCATGTGAGAGATGCAACACCTTCGCCTGACCTTGTCTTGCCCTTTTCACCCATATGGACAAAATCCAAGGTCAGGCAGCATTAGGAGATGTGTTAAAAGTCAGGGTAGTTATCTTCATGTGTTAGGTCCAGGATAAAACCCTGTGGAATCATTCTGTAAGTGTGAAATAGTCTGTGCTCTCTAGCAGAAGAATATGGGTCTCTCTGGAAATGAGTCCATGCCACTTATTGTCCATTTGGCCTTGGGAAAATCTGAGGCTGTGATCTGGTTTCTCTCTCTGTAAAGAGGCATAACAATGCCTTGCTACCTTACCAGGGTGTTGTGTGAATTTGCTGACACCCGTAAAGCTCCCTGAAAATGAAGAGGCTTACATAAGTCCCTGGTATTATTCACACAGCACACGTTTTCCCCTGAGAATAAAGTAATAAATGGTACCATTGTGCAGCTGGTGGAACGTGTTCAAAAGTTTCCGTTCACAACTAGTAGATCAAGTTGTGGGCGGCTGTATGGACTTTCTGTGTTCATGCCAAGGTGCGTCCAAAACAGCCGGCACAATGGCTGTCCTGGAATGAAAAGCTGTACTGTAAGGGACGGCCAAATCATGGCATCACATCACATAGGACAGTCCTGTGTAGCCAGCGACTTCATATGCACTTTTTCCTTACAGCAGAAAGGAACAATAGCAGAAACAGTGGGCCACATGGATATCTAACATGGCAGAAATCGAGAAGCCACTATCTTCTTCCATCACATTGACAAAATTTCCCAAGGCTAAGGATGCTCACGATTGTGGAGGATTATAATTATAGCTTTTCTTTCTTTCTGATTTCTTAGGCCAGCAAAAGCCAGAGTTCTAAATCAGATGGAGTGTTCGGGGTAGGAACCTATTCTCTTTGAATACAATTCATTTGGGTGGGAGTGTGTGGGAACAGTCTGAACAGAATGCTACTGACTGGCATAGGAGACAGGAGAGGATCCCCTTTCGACCATTGTAAGCCCTGAAAAATACTCCAGGACATGATACAGGAAAAATGTCTTTTCTCTTTTAGCAAGGTTGGGGACTCTCAGCCTTCAGATATCACATTGGAGATGACAGATATTTTAGTTAAATGAGAGAAAGATTAGCTACTGAAGATGCTACATTTTTTTTAAAGTAATGATCAATTAGAGATATTTAGGGATTACGCTAACAAGCTTATTTGGATTGGTTACCCTCCTTAGTGGTAAATATTTAAATACTCTCACATTAAAAAAGCTAGGAGGGAATCACAGAATCATGGAATTCTTGAGCTGTGAGTAACCTACCTTGATATTTGACAACTGTTTGATAACTTTTCAAACCCTATGGACAAGCTGACATTTTTTTCCCTCTTTCTTTTTAACGGCAACCATGGGCAAAAGAACTTGAGGCTAATGAGCTTAGGACAACAAAGTAGAAAAGAAACTCTAAGTATCTAAGTTTGAAGTTGGGTAAAATCTTTAGATTTAATGTAAAGGCTGTGGCAAAATACCGTACCACTGACAGGGTACATAGGATGCCCTTGGGCCCCACCCTCCCACACTCAGTTTTCAGAGACTGTTTCATTCATTCACTCAGTGCCCAGTTATTGAGCACCTACCATTCACTGAGCAGTGTGCTAGGTGTTAGAGGTACAAAATGATGAAAGGCACAGTCACTGCTCTCACGGAGTCCCTCACCTAGTTAAGAACAGTGACAAGTGTCATGATGGAATCTAGGTTAGACCTGGAATAACTGAAGGGAATTTCATTGTGACACCTTGCCTCGGGCCTCAGTATTCAAGGTCCTGGCACCTTCTACTGACTTGTCTTTTCTCCTTGGGATGCCTTGTGCTACATGTGTCACGAGAATCATGACCCAAGACAACATCGCATGGTTCCCTCCGAGTTCCAATGAACTTCATTCAGTCACTTCTGGAGCATAGAAAGCAGTGCAGGCCTGCCGGGCAGAGGAGGCTCCAGGTCCCGCTCTCTTGTTTCTGGGGAAAACACACAGCAGCCCGGAGGACACTGCATGAATACTTCTTCATGACTGGACTCACCTACAGGAAACTTAACAGTTGCCAAAGTTTATTCATCAATATGTAGTCTGGGGACACAAAGGCTGGGCAGTGCGCCATGGTGACCAAGGTCAGAGGTTCTGAAGGAGCTATTTGCCTGAACAAGACCAAACATAGTTGTGAGCTTGAGAGATGCAATCATTTAAATGCTATTATACGAGGCCTGACAATTAAGTTCAGGCACTTGTTCCAATGACGTTGCTAACCTTTCTTGATATCAGAGGGAATATTCATATGAATTTGTACCAACTGGACAAACAGTTAACCAAGTTTACTATTTGGAAGTGCTGAAAATGCCACATGAAAAAGTTAGATGACCTGAACTTTTTGCCTACAATTCATGGCTCTTGCATCACGACAATGCACCAGCTCACACAGCACTGTCTGTGAGGGAGTTTTTAGCCAGTACACAAATAACTATATGGGATCACCCTCCCTACTCACCTGATCTGGCCCCCAGTGACTTCTTTCTTTACCTGAAGATAAAGGAAATATTGAAAGGAAGATATTTTGATGACATTCAGGACATCAAGGGTAATACGATGACAGCTCTGATGGCCATTTCAGAAAAAGAGTTCCAAAGTTGCTTTGAACGGTGGACTAGGCTCTGGCATTGGTGCATATCTTCCCAAGGGGAATACTTAGAAGGTGACTGTAGTGATATTCAGCAATGTGGTGTGTAGCACCTTTTCTAGGATGAGTTTGCTAACTTAACTGTCAGACCCCGTATATGCTGACCTGGTAAACTTCGAGGAAACAGACAGTAATGTCTCTGATGAACTCCTTGAGCCTCAGAACACAGGCTCCCTGCCCACTTCAGGTTACTCCAGTGGCCATGGCCAGGCCATCTAGGAAAAGAAAGAATGAGATGCAGAGAGATGATGTGAGGAGAGGTTGGTGCCTTTCCCACTTTGTTCCTAAGGTTTGGGCTCTTCTTTCAGCATTTTCACCACAGACCCTGCTAGTTATTTATTCTATATTTAGCCTCCCTCCTTCCCCCAATTGTGTTCATAATAGCAATATACCCAGTTATCTACCTGCTTTCCTACCCTTTCTCACTATCGGCAGAAGCTTGTGACATAACCTGAGCTGATGAGATATAAGGTGAAGTCAGCTTGAAATTTGGGGGAAAATTTGCTTTCCTAATAGAAAGGGACCCATGTGTTTGGCACCACTCTTTCAATCCCTCACTGCTTTCTGCCTTGAACATGGACATGATGTCTAGAAGGCAGGAGCCATCATGTAGCCTCGAGGTGACAAAGCCAAAATTCTAAGAAAGCTAGAGCAGAAAGATCCATTTATTCATTTATTCAGCTAATATTTATTGAGTATCTACTATGTGCCAGGCACTATGGTAGTTGCTGGAGATGCAGAAGTGAACGAAACACACAAAATCCCCTGCCTCCTCGGAGCTTACATTTTTGTGGTGACAGGATAGAAAGTCAATATATATTATATGGTAAGTGAAAGGTATAGCATGCCACATGATGATAAGTACTGTGGAGAAAAGAAAAGCAGACACTCACCCTGGGTGGGGCCTTGAATGCTCGTAGAAGGACTTTGGCTCTTCCTCTGAGCAAATCACTGGAGGGTTGCTAGTAGACGTGTGATGTGGGCTTACACTTTCACAGGAGACTTCTGGCTGTT